ATGGCTAACTGTAGTAGCGTATAGTCCACTGTCTATAATAGCCTAATTTAGATATCACTTTTTTTTTTAACCGACTACCGACAACTTTGACCGGTTAACGTTGATACGGTCAACCACCGGTCAAACGGTCATCGGTTAACATCCCTACTTCTAACCCAGGTTACTAAGCGATACTGGTAATTAGTGAATCCCATTGAAGTCTCACATTAACAGACTCACAGGGATACCGCAATTGAGTTTGGAGGAGCCGACCATTCGGCATAACGATTGGTTAATAATCAGCATTAAATAATAATTAAACTTTAATTAATTTCAAACATATTGGTGGAGAATATTAGAATTTATTTGAGCTAATAATTCCTACACTTATAATAGGATGTTATTTCAGTCTGAGCTAGTGAATCATCCCGTTTTATTCTTGCAGTGGTCATCCAGTTTTTAACCAGCATCAAGTGAGCTGGATGATTTTTTTCTTTATTCTTCCAAATATTGCCTACCGTAGACTTAGCCACTCCAAAACGATCCGCAACAACTCTGCGTAATTTTCCTTTTCGTATCTCTGTCGAGTTTCTTTTGAAAGGACATGACACTATACGCTTCCTTTTTGAAGCCATGGATTTTGTTCAGTTTTACGCACCGCTGTAAGTTCAGCTCCGCCCACAGCCTCATCCTCTAATTCGCTCTCCATCCGACGTTCGCTCCGCCTTCACATGCAGACTCCACCCACAACTTTCTGTATGCGGCATTTGTCACTTCCGTCATAGTGAAAAGCTGACCGCAAGACGTCTGGAGAGCTCTGCTCTCTTATTATTGTTGTGGTTTGCTTTTCTTTGACAGATATTACTGTGTATGATTTGTTTGGTTTATTGGATTTTTGATTTTTGCTTTGCCCTTGTCTGTACTTTCGCTTTGGTTTACTTGCTATTTTGTTTTGAGCTCTTGCCCAGTTTTTGGTTAATATCTTCGTGCGCCCCTTGGACTTTGACACTTTGATCTCTGTGTATGTTCTGTGTTTGTGTCAGGTGCATAGCGAGTGGCTGCCATTTTTATTTTGCGAGCTTATGTTGTATGCTGTTGTTTGGATAGGTAGTAAGGTGTAGAATTTGTCCTTGTGTTTTTGTTTTCTCTGGTCTTAAGTAAGTTAGCTTTGGGTTGCGTTCAGAAGCTGGATTTTGTTTATTGTTTTCGCTATAGTCACTCCTGAGTCCTTTTGCACCGGGTTTATTTGTTCTGTGTCCGTGGCGTGTCAATAAAAACAGAAAAATGTTTTTAAAAATGTCCACGTGTGTTCCATCACACCCTGTCCTTCCCTTACTCCACATCCCCTTTCTATGGAAGCCCTGAAGGGCAAAACACACCAACAAATTCGAAAACATGCTAGCAAAAGCAAAAACACACCAGCAAAAGTGAAAACACACCAGCAAATTCAAAAACACACCAGCAAATTCAAAAACACGCCAGCAAAAGCGAAAACACACCAGCAAATTCAAAAACACGCCGGCAAAAGCGAAAACACACCAGCAAATTCAAAAACACGCCAGCAAAAGCGAACACGCCAGCAAAAGCAAAAACACGCCAGCAAATATGAAAACACACCAGCAAATTCGAAAACACGCCAGCAAATTCAAAAACATGCCAGAAAAAGCGAAAACACACCAGCAAAAGCGAAAACACACCAGCAAATATGAAAACACAAAAGCAAAAACACACCAGCAAATATGAAAACACGCCAGCAAAAGCGAAAACACTACAACATTAGTGGCACTGAAAACGGAAAGGGTATGTACCCACTAATCATCACGTGCTTGTTACTGATCAGGGAGCCTGTCAATCAGTGTCCCGGCACCTTACAGGGGTAATACATGAAGAAAGGGAAAATGTTTTGCCCATACTATGCGGGGTCGTTGGGGTCTTTATTAAGGTGCACATTGTGCTTGAAGACATGCTTGCATTACACGAGCATGCAGAATGAAGTGGCTGTTGGTGATTATGAACATGCGACACGAACCTACTTTTCCTGAAGTTGAAAAACTAGATACATTCGGAATGAAGTCAAGCATACATTAATTATTATTATTATCAATTATTAAGTCTCACTTGCTGAAAATGCCACATAAGTTTAAAAAAAAAAAAAACGCCGCAATGGAGGAGGGAGCGAACGCACNATTATTATCAATTATTAAGTCTCACTTGCTGAAAATGCCACATAAGTTTAAAAAAAAAAAAAACGCCGCAATGGAGGAGGGAGCGAACGCACGGTAAAATTGCTAGTCATGATACCTTTTCTTCCCAACGATTATGTACATAATAAATATATACCCCATATCATGAAATACAGCATGCAAAGGAATACACTGTATTCTTCTTATTGTTTTTTATCCTTTGTACCTTGCAGAGAATAGTTAGCTTGCTTTACAATGAGTAAATCTTTATAGTGGCATGTATGGCTGCAACAAATAATCGATTTAATCGATTATTAAAATAGTTGCCAACTAATTTACAGTTTTTCTCAATTGCTAAAACACTAAAACCCATTAGCTGAAGAAAGTTCTCAGTTGCCTGACCTCATTTAGCTAATTGTGCAGTCTGTTGTCAATACCATAAAGCATTTCACATGGTAAAACACAATGCAGATCATACTTAGACTTTTCAGCAAAACTCTAAACACATTCTCATTCTCAAAACACATTCTACACTCTAATGCACACGTCATCCATACTGGTAAACACAAGTAGCAATGCTCAAATACAATTAGAGAAAACATGTCATTGATTGAACACAACCACTCAAAATTGATGTCACCTGTTTCAAATGATGTGACACAACCAATATAAGCCAGTTCAGAGAGCAAACAGGTTGTTGAAGGTAGAAAGGAGAAAGTCTGAGCATGGATAGAAGAAACAATGTGAGAGGACGAGTGCGTATGCGAGGTGGGCGACGAGGAGGAGGAGGAGGCCGACGACAAGAAAGAGGGCGAGGAAGAGGAGGAGGGCGGCAAGAAAGAGGAAGAGGAGGAGGAAGACAAAGAGTGGAAATATCTGATGAAACTCGAGCAACAGTCATAGACCATGTTCTTGTCCATGGACTGACAATGAGGGAAGCAGGACTAAGAGTGCAACCCAATTTGAGCCGATTTTCTGTGTCCACCATAGTAAGGACATTCAGAGAAGAGAACAGGTACAGTATATTGCTTATTTTTGTAATTGCAAATTTACTGTACTACACTCTATGCAACTGTTTCAATAGACATTTGTAAAGTTCATCACTGTATGTATAGTACTGCATGAATATTTGTTGTAACTGCACATCTACTTTTTGTAGAATTGCGAGGCTGCCACATGCAGGTGGAAGGACGGCTTTATTCACTCAAGAGCAAGAGGCCGTTATACTGGGCATGGTCCTTCAAGATAATGTAATACGACTCAGAGAAATCCAGGAACGAGTGATACAAGACAACACACACTTCCAGGGAATCAACAGTGTGAGCATTTCCACAACTGACCGTGTCCTCCATTGTAACAGGATGCGATTGAAACAAGTATACAAAAGTACCCTTTGAGCGCAACTCACCAAGGGTGAAAGAACTGCGAGCTCAGTATGTGCAAGTAAGTGTACATTCAGAAACATTTACTGTAATCCAGATTTTCTACAATACTAACACATACTATGTGAATGACATTACTCTTCAGTACATACAATGTATGTGAATCAGAAGTGCATACAGTAGGCTTAATTGTACTCTACAGTATAGCACTGTCTCTGTATGACTTACAAAATTCTAAATGCAGTATATTGTATTTCTACACAGACAATATTTGACTTGGAATCCTTGGACAGACCCCATGACTTCATCTTTGTCGATGAAGCAGGCTTCAATCTAACAAAGAGGAGACGGAGAGGCCGAAACATCATTGGACAGCGGGCCATTGTTGAAGTCCCTGGTCATGAAGTCCCTGGTCATGGCAGCACAGATGGTGGCAATGTCACCGTCTGTGCTGCTATTAGCAACCATGGTGTTCTACATCACCAT